ACCCTTCAACCCGAAGTGAGGGCTGTTGGCCCGTATGCCCTAAATCTTTAAAACCCTCAGATCTGATCCGCAAACGAGGCCTGTCCAGTTGTCAGAAAAGGATTGATCGTTTAGGATTTAGGGTTTAGGGCTTAGGGTTTAAGGTTTAATATTCCAACTTCCAGGATTGCCCATCTGCGAGGCACTAAGCTAAATCGTCAACCTGCTCAGGCCGACGACCAAGAACGTCTGAAGCTCAGAGAGCGCCTGCGTCGCCACTTGCACCCGCGCTGGCGCTGGCAGGCAGACAGCGTCGTTGGGGAGTGGGGCTGCGGATATTGGAGATACTTAGAAGTATTGCTTTAAGCATTTAGGTATCTTACTGATTGAATGCTAGCTTGTAAGTATGAAATACTACTTGTCCCCTAAACACTTGCTAAACCCCATGCCCTGCTTGTTTTTTGGTTTCCATTTTCTTCAGAACTGGTTTTGGCGTGCGAAGTGTCCGAAGGCACCCGAGGCCTTCGAAAGCACCTTTCAGGGCGGGGAGCAACGCATCGATGAAACGCTTTGGGGTTCAGGGTTTAGGGTTTAGGGTTTAGGGTTTAGGGTTTTGGGTTCCTGACAAACCGGAGCAGAGCAGGTGTGGCAACGACTCCTCCACCTTGAGGCCGTGCCCGCCGTACAGGCCAGGAATGACGACCCCGCCTCCCCCAAAAGCCGAAACCCGAAACCCCAAACCCCCAAAGCCCCTAAACCCTAACCCTAAACCCTAAACCCTAAACCCTAAACCCTAAACCCCAAACCCCCAAAAGCTGAAAAACGAAACCCCTAAAACCCCAAAGCCCCTAAACCCTGAGCTCAACCGTTCCTCGGGTCTCCTTCGTTTAAATCATGGGGCGGGAGCTCTGAGCGTCCTATGGGCCCCGTACAAAGCCCATCCAAACCCAATACACCGTAGGGTTCAGGGGTTTAGGGTTTAGGGTTGGCTTTGGGGGTTTAGGGTTTCGGGTTTAGGGTTTTGGTTTCAATACGCTCAACCATGTGCTCAGGGTGGCGAGTTCTAACCCCTAAACCATCCCAAATCCTAAGCTTAAACCCTGGCCCTAAACCCTAAACCCTGTTTGCCCTAAAGTCCCAAAGCCCTAGAGCCCAGGGACCTTGGCAACCCGCACAAATGGACCTGGGAGCTGTGTACCAAAAACAGACTAACCCCGAAGTTTCGATTGGGATGCTCCCCCCCTTGTACTATCAGTCTTAATAGTATAATCCCAATCAGGGACTGTTAGTCTAAGGGGGATCATCCAAACCTAACTTCAGCCCCGGCAACGCCGGCCTCAGCACACCACCAGTACGCTTTCATCAAGAGGTTCCGAACGACAGTATCTCGGAGCCACAATGGAGCCAGATCGAGAAAGACCTGCCGAGCGCCTGAGCTGCCTTAGCGACAGGTCTTGCCCAAACGGCTTCGCACGGCCTGTGGACTTAGTGGCTGGGTAGTTAAGCTTAAACCTTTCTGGTTATATATATATATATATTCATACTACCAATAAAGGTTAACCTTTTTTTGGGCTAGGGTATTCAGCCCCTAAGGCCTTTGGATGGTTGCGTATTATGACTCTTGCAGTTCTGTTCTTTTGGAGAGCGTTGCATTGCTTCCGACAGACAAAACTCCTCGTGCCTATCGAGCTAAATAGCGCCGTTTTTGGACATACCAAGAACACACACACATATGCACATATATATATATATATATATAAGTCTTTGTTTATTCATAATCATACTTTGGAATATTTCGCAATATATAGCTCACAAATGTCTGCAGATTATGTAGTAAGGGCTACGCTCAAGAGCGCAAGCAGCTGCCATCTCCAACTGACCGCCTGCAAACTTACTCGCCTTGACCGCAGAAGTACCCCTGATAACCCCATGTAATGACCATGAGAACCCCACCAACTCCCTCCCAAAAAACAATAACAAGAGCCCCAACATCTAACAACCCTCATACCCGTCATACTGACCCTAGCAACTCGCATAAAATATTAGTGAAGCTTGAGCTCGTCCCGAACTTCTTGAAGAAGTCAGGAACCTTCCCCGAGGAGGTTTTCGACGCCCAGCTCCAGCAGAAGCCCCTTGTCATCCTGAACCCTGAACCTTGAACCCGAAGCCTTCCGCCTCAAACCCTAAACCCAGAACCCCGTCCTTCCTTTGAGGCTTCGGGGGCTTCGGCTTTGAGCTTTGGGGTCTCTGTGGTCAGATCCGATGAGTTCAAAGGAAGAAGCGGAAGAGGCAGCCTCAGTGGAATGTCGGGATTGTGCCAGGAAAGGCGAGGCGAGGCAGCTTTTGGGTCCTTGGGCAGACTGGTCGTTTGGGTTATTGGGCTGTCAAGGCCACTCGGGTTTCTACCGTTACTAGCTCTAAACCCCAAACCCCCAACCCTAAACCCTAAACCCCAAACCCCAAACCCCAAACCCCAAACCCTAAACCCTAAACCCTGAGCCCTCGATCCTTTCGGGACTGCTGTGGGGTCTCGGCCTCACAAGGCTCGGCAAAGTCCTGAGCGCCTACGCCGCGCTGGATCCCGCGACCGGACCGGGGATTTCCATTTCGGGGGATTTAGGGGTTTGGGGTTTAAGGGTTTAGGGTTTAAGGGTTTAGGGTTTAAAGTCTAGGGGTTTAGGGGTTTTAGGGATTTTGGGGTTTAGGGGTTGAGGGTTTTGGGGTTTAGTCTTCTTGCCCTCCTGTCCAAACAGGGCGGTGTCGTGATCTTCTCGAGGTCCCTTTGCACCTGCCAGGGTGGGTTCTGGGACAGGTTTAATTCGGGTTTAGGGTTTAGGGTTTAGGGTTTAGGGTTTAGGGTTTAGGGTTTAGGGTTTAGGGTTTAGGGTTTAGGGTTTAATTAGGGTTTAGGGTTTAGGGTCATTCGAGCAGATGCTGGTCCCACCGCGCCTTGCTCACCTACACCTACCACGGCCAGCCTTGAGCCTGCTACGTGCGCCTGGGTCTTTGGGGGGAAGTTTCCCTAAACCCGAAACCCGAAACCCGAAACCCTAAACCCCAAACCCTAAACCCTAACCCTAAACCCCAAACCCTAAACCCTAAACCCTAAATAAACCCTAAACCCCAAACCCTAAACCCTAAACCCTAATTGGGGGGTTGGGGGGTTGTGGGAAGGATACTGCCAAAGCATGAACTTCATCGCAGGCCTCCTCATGCTCCTTGGCTCAGCAGCCCATAGGGGGGGGGGGGTGCCGTGTTTAGGGTTTAGGGTTTAGGGTTTAGGGTTTAGGGTTTAGGGTTTAGGGTTTAGCGTTTAGGGTTTAGGGTTGCAAGCGTTTAGGGTTTAGGGTTGAAGGTTTAGGTTTTATGGGGGTTTACGAAAATAAGGGACCCCCTATGGACCCCTAATATGATCCCCCCCAAATAGTAGGATTCCCGGTGCCCCTAAGTTCGGAACCCCTAAGTTCGGAGACCCCCGTAGATTCATCCCCTCTATGGGGGTCATCAGGATCCTCTTCAGGCCGCGGAGACACACCAGAGTCGCTGTCATGGTTTAGGGTTTAGGGTTTAGGGCTTAGGGTTTAGGGTTTAGGGTTTAGGGTTTAGGGTTTCGTAAGCCTTGCCTATGCCTATGACATTGTGTACTCTCTTCCAGGTCCTGGACCCTAAACTTTAGGCCCTGACCTCGAACCCCGAACCCCCAGCTCCCAACTCCCAAACGCAAGCAGAATGGGAAGGCGAAGCCCCATGTAGACACGCTACGCAGTGTTAGGAACCCAAGCCTAACCTGCCGAAGCCCCTACCCGGGAATGAGGGCTAACATATGTTATCCCGCTTGAGGGATTATTTAGGGTACCTCTTCCCTCATTCCCTACTAGCCCAGACCCCTGAAAGATCCCAAAAAGCAGATCCCCTTGAGGGTTCCTAAGAATGACCCAGTAGTAGTGTAGGGTACTAATTTGAGGGTTGTGTTTTTGTTGATCCTAAACCCTAAACCCTAAACCCTAAACCCTAAACCCTAAACCCTAAACCCTAAACCCTAAACCCTAAGAGGGGTCTGGGAATTAAGAGCCAGCCAGAGAATCCGCAGGCTGGTCTCCCAGGACGAGGCTCAGGCCCTACGAGCTTTCAAGGTGCTGATGGAGAGCTACGGCTTTGCAGGCCTCACACCCGAAACCCAAAGCCCGAAACCCTAAACCCTAAACCCTAAACCCCTAACCCTTAACCCTAAACCCTAAACCCTAAACCCTAAACCCTAAACCCTAAAGCCTAAACCTATGGGTGGGTTCCCGCAAAGCTCGGGCCCAGCTTCCCTAGTCCCAGTGGCCCAACTCTTCCCCCCCTGAGATTTCTTTCGTGCTGGGCTGCCTCTGACGATGCCACTCGGCTTAGGGTTTAGAGGGTTTTATGTTATAGTTTAGGGCTTAGGGTTTAGGGTTTATAGGGTTTATAGGTGTTATAGGGTTTACAGGGTTTGTAGGGTTTACAGGGTTTGTAGGGTTTAGAGGGTATATAGGGGTTTATAGGGTATATAGGGTTTATAGGGTTTATAGGGTTTATAAGGTTTATAGGGTTTACAGGGTTTATAGGGGTTATAGGGTTATATAGGGTTTATAGGGTTTATAGGGTTTATAGGGTTTATAGGGTTTATAGGGTTTATAGGGTTTATAGGGTTTAGGGGTCTTAGATGGTTTAGGGTTTATCGGCTTTAGGGTTTTTAGGATTTTAGGACTTTTTTTAAGGTTTAGGGTTCACAGGGTTTAGGGTTGATGGCGTTTAGGGCTTAGGCCTTAGCGTTATAGGGCCTTGGCACTGGGTTGGCGTTTGGGGGGGGGGGGGGGGACAGCGACGGTGGGCTTCCTGACCTCCGCGCGTGTCGGAAACGTTCGTTTGACTTGTAACGACTACTGGCTATTCTTACATGTATGTATACACATTTTTCTATATACCTAGAGGCATAGGTCTGGGTATAGGTATGTCTATATTTGTTCGTATATAACGAGTGATTGATGCATGGGAAGATGGACAGGCAGGTAAGAAGGGTATGCATGAAGACGCAAGCACCTGCGGACGGACATACGTACGATTTTATGCATGACTGTACGAATGACCGACGGGACGCATTGTACTGTTTCATGACATGGAGTACGCATGTACAGTATTGTATGCATCGTATGCTGATATAGTGGTACGACATGTAAAGTACGCAGAGGAAACAGCATGTGCCTATGCATGACAATCTTTAGGACTTGCATTCAGTATCGTCATGCTGCCCACTTGATGTCAAGCGTGCTGGTTCAGCTGCCATCCCTGTTTACGATCAAACTTGCAGTTCCGTGCTCACAACGGTGAACAGAAACCAACCCGGCCAAACACCGTTTTCCACGCAATCAACCGTCGTTTCGATTTTGTCAACCAGGACGTACCGGCCCCTGACCCCAGGTCCGAAGCCTCATGACCAACAAAGCACCCAAGGAGATACGCCCACGTCTGCCTCTGCCTGCAGCGGCAACTGTTGCCGGACTCCTCGCCCTTGGAAGTTGCTTCTTTGGGTTTTAGGCTCCTTAACCACGCTAACCCCCAGAGTTGCGCTGATCTATTGGCTATTGGGGTGAGAAAGTTTGTGTGGCTTCGCATGCCCTCAACACTTGATCCGGAAGGCCAGGTCGTTTCTTTTCTAGGTTTAGGGTGGTTAGGGCTCAGGGAATCAAATTTTAGGATATTTAAGGGTGCTACCCCGCCCCCCCCCCCCCCCCCCCCCCCAAAAAAAAAAAAAAAAAACCGAGCCAAACATCATAGAATGGTCGAGATCGTCCACACACCCACACACACACACCCATGACAGATGACTGCTTGTCTGCCCATGAGCCTCCAAGCAACCAGGATCTCCACGATCACTTTCGGAACGTGGACTTCCGCCCGGCGCAGTATCTGATGCCATGGCTCATGTCGACTCTTGGCCTGAACCCGATGGGGTCTTTAATGAAAATCCCCCCCCCCCCCACCCCACAGCTTTCCCGAATCCGAAAAGCACATCCCTTCCCTGCCTAAGCCCTGGGCCTAGTAAACCCCGAGCAGAGGGGGGTCTTGCCTTTGCGAGGGTACTGTTCTTATCGACCATCCTCCCTAACAAGGCCGCCCAAGAATTAGGGTGTAGGGCTTGGTTTTGGGTTTTGGGTTCGGGTTTGAACTCCCCTGAGAGAGCCCTCAAAAAACCTTTGGAGCCGGGGATTTGGGTTGCAACGGGAGCCCAAGGCTCTTTGTGAAGCTCGGCCCTCTCAGGCCGGGATATTGCGGGTTCCTCCAACGCAAGCCCGAAACCCGAAACCCGTAACCTTTGAGACTGCAGGGTTTGGGGGTTAAGGGGACCATTGTGAGGCTCCGGATAGAAGCAGCAGGTGTCAAGCAGCATGTAGGTTGGCCCCCCCCCCCCCACCTCAGTAGCAACGTCTAGTGCGGCCCTTCGAGATCCTGAAGTCCTCTGCTCATATGCTCGGAAGCGAAAGAGGGAACACTGCTACTGGTAGAGCCCCTTTTTGGGGTCTCATAGATAGTACGGCCTAACCCGAAAAGAGAAAGCCCGTCGTTGTGGAGAGATCGTTCTCGGGTCTACGGTGTGGCCTTTGCAGGGTTGGAGCCTCCCTGGTCCGAAAACCCAAACCCAACCCAAAACCCTAAGGGCCAAGAAGCCCTACAAAATTCTGGAGGCACGAGAAACCCTGTAAACCCTAAACGGAGGAGGGCGGGCCGCCCCCCCAGGACCAAGCTGAGACGCTTGACAAAGCTGCAGAACCCAAAGACCAGGGTTCAAGGGTTCAAGGGTTCAAGGGTTAAAGGGGCAAAGGGGTAAAGGGTTCAAGGGTATAAGGGTTCAAGGATTCAAGGGTTTAAGGGTTCAAGGGTTCCAGGGTTCAATGGTTTGACAGTGCAAGAGCTTCAGGGGACCCTAAACCCTAAACCCTGAACCCTAAACCCTAAACACTAAACCCTAAACCCTCTGGAACCCAAACCCCCTGGGGTGCAGGCTGGTCCAATACTTCTGGGACATGATCCTCTTCGAAGGTGAAGCTTCCGTGGTCACTTAGTAGCCCAGTGGTACCCCTTTCCTTTTTTTTTTTGGTTTCTGGGTTCCCTTATGAAGTAACCAGCCAAAAAAGGATGGCCCTTATTAGAATATTGGTTGCTGGGCTACTGAGGTCACCTTATGCCTGCTGGTTCTGAGGACCGGCTTGGGGGGCTGGTTAGGGATCAAGGGGGGCAGTTGCGTGTAGTTCTACATTGGGGTCCCTTTGTGGGTGCCCATATATAGTTTCGGCGCCCTTATATGATAAGGGAGCCCTAAAAGGGACCCCAAATTGAGAGAACCCCGCGCTTGTGTCTTCGCCTTTGCAGAGTTGATACATTCGATCCAGTTCTTTTCTTGCCCTCCCCCCCACCCCCCCTCGGACTCAGGGCGTGCGAGCCCTTCCTCCGTTTCCTGGACCAATCGGACATCCCCACTTTTTTCGAGATGATCCGGGAGTGGCGTGGATCAATGGGAACATCTAAACCCTAAACCCTAAGCCCTAAACCCTAAACCCATGAGCTGGGGTCGGACCTGTGTGAGACGTTCAATGCACAGTAGGGCCGGTAGAAGCCAGAGTGAAAGCATGGTTGACAAAATAAGACCAGCCGAAGCCCCCAATCCCCCGCAAAAAACCAACCCTCAACGAAGGTCTGACAAGCTCGCTTGGAGGTCGGATACACTGGAGATCTTCTGGATCTCGTGTCCCGGCGCGGTCTTTCGGAGACGGTGGGAGGCTTCGAGAATCGATTTTTTTGTTGTACGTATCCAGCCCTTTCAATCCCCTGAACCTGCAGAAGCAAAGCCAGCCTCTGCGAAGACCCCACTCTGTCAAGTCGAATTTTGGAGGCCATCACAGCACCCTTTACCCTTCTTCGGTTCAAGGTTCCCTTATAAAGTTAACCAACCCCCCAAAAAGGCTACCCGTATTCAAATATGGTTACTGGGCTACCAAGTCATAGTCCAAAGTGCTGCAGCCAAAAAATGCAGGCAGGACGTTCCAGTCCAGCCCAGTTCTCACAACAAACCTTCGAATGCGGGCCAACGCCTCCCCAGAAACAAGGGCTCTGGAAGGACAGAGCTACAACAAAACAAGGCTTAGGGCAAAGTTCGGGTTTGGGCAGGATTTCGGGTTTCCTAGTGGTCTGCGTGGCAGCCGCGCCTTTCGCCTTGGTTACCCTGGTGTCTGCGCCACGCTCTCAATCGCTCCCAACCTGCGGTCAAGACACCGGCAACGGCACCTACGTAGCAAAGAGTATCGTATCTTTGTTCTGGTAACCTCAGTGGCCACCACAACGACTTAGATAGCAAAAGAGTATCATACCCTTGTTCTGGCAAACCTCAAGCCCCAAACCCTAAGCCCGATGAACACGAAACCCTAAAGCCCCTAAAGCCTAAACCCCAAACCGTAACCTTCATTGAAGTTCCGTACGAACCCGGAGGCGAGACAGGGTTTAGGGTTTAGGGTTTAGGTAGGGTTTATGGTTTAGGGTTTAGGGTTTCTCCGTCGCTCGCTCGCTCTCTCTCTCTCTCTCTCTCTCTCTCTCTCTCTGTCTCCCTACAGGGTCTGTAGGGTTTATAAAGCTCGTATCTAAGCGTAATTTCACGGTCCCTTAATATGGTCTCTTACCTTCTTTACAGGGTTCTGAACGAAGAATGGGCTCTTAGCGTTTGAGTATGAAAGAGGTCCCTTTTTCAGGGCACAATGAAGGGACCATGTAACTACCCTTGGATATGAAGTTTAACGGATTTGTATGGTTTGTAGGGTTTTTCGGGTTTCCAGGGTTCAGGGTTTAGGGTGTTCACGTGCGCGGTCAGCCGAGGCTCATCCGAGCACAGGTGTTAAAGGACTTCGACGCGCTGCAAAGGCGAGAAACTGCACGGATTAGGGTTTAGGGTTTAGGGTTTAGGGTTTAGGGTTTAGGGTTTAGGGTTTAGGGTTTAGGGGGGCAGAATGATTGGCTTTAAGCGCTGAAGCCTCAACCTTGAAAAGCTTCAAAAAGGGGTTGACAGAGTTCAGCTTGTGCTTCAGTGAACCCCAAACCCCTAAGCCGAAGATACACTCTAAACTCTAAACTCTAAACTCTAAACTCTAAACTCTAAACCCTAAACCCTAAACCCTAAACTCTAAACCCTACACCTAAACCCACCCCCTCGGATGCAGAAGCCTATATATACATATATATGCACATACTCACATGCTGTATGAGAAGCAAAATACCAAAAACAGTAGTGTTAAAATTTCAAAAACAAACAAAACAGTAATAATTGCAGAATCAGTACTGATATACACTAGCATCTAGCATGGTCAGTAAGTTAGTAAGAATTATCTGTATATATACACGCACATATTTACACATATGCTGATTTTTCTAAGTTAGGGTTCCTTTTGGGGTCCTTGTTAAAAAGGCGGCCCCTCTTATTTAGGGTACCCCCAAAAGGGGCCATAAGACCGCCATATCATGTCTTCATATGGGGGCCCCTAGAATAGACCCCAAATAGGAGGATTCCCTTGTAAGAAGGACCCCAATTAGGCACCCTCTACTTTCGGAAAGCCCCATATCATGTCTTCATATCATATCGTATCGGTACAACTTCCCCATGACCCTGTAGGTGCACCTGGCAGAAACCTCGGCCAGATTGAGGTTTCAGAGTTTAGGGTTCAGGGTTTAGGATTTAGGGCCCACAACTCCTGACCTACATCCGGAAGCCCTGTACCTGCAATAAGGGCTGAACGCAAACTCTTGGCCGCAAAGCCGGGGCTTGTGTTTTCTTTTTTGGTACGGCCTTTGCGGTCTAAGTTAGGAGTGTATGAGGCTTCCTTCCCTAAGCGTGCGGTCACCCGGTGCGCGCCCGAAACTTGGGGCTTAGGTTTTGGGGGTATCCAGCGCCCTATGCAACCCTTATATATGTATATATATATATGCCATTATACAGTCTCTACATACCTAAGTGCCCCCCACAGAACCCCAAAAGAACCCCCAACCCTAAACCCTAAACCCTAAAGCCTAAACCCTAAACCCTAAACCCTAAACACTAAACCCTAAACCCTAAACCCTAAACCCTAAACCCTAAACCCTAATTAAACCCTAAACCCTAAACCCTAAACCCTAAACCCTAAACCCTAAACCCTAAGCCCTAAACCCTAAACCCTAAACCCTAAACCCTAAACCCTAACTTGAGACAGGCAGGTCCTCGAGCTGCTGGCGAAGGATGAGGATCGGGAGTTCACCTTCCTCATCGTGGACATGGAGGCTGGAGACCCCCCCAAAAAACCCTCCTTATTCAAAGGTTCATGGGTATAATTAGCTATACATAAATATACAAATAGACAAAAAAACTATATACATAGATATGTGTATATAGATAGATAGATTAATAGATATATACATGGCAGGTAGACTTGTAAGGCGACTTGTGTCAAGGTCTGCGAAGGCAGTCCGGGGGTTCAGAGTTCCAGGGCTTAGGGTTTCAGAGCTTGTTTGGGATTTGGGGGGTTTTAGGGTTTGGGGTCTTCGTTGGGTTTATGTAGGGTTTAGGGTTTAGGGTTTAGGGTTTAGGGTTTAGGGTTTAGGGTTTAGGGTGGGTTTGGGGCCTTCGTTGGGTTTATATAGGTTGGATGTTCATGTCACGTGCCCATGGTGGCACCATGGCACAGAGGTCAGCATGCTTAGCATTGGGGGATAGATGTTGCTTGGAGGTTTATGGTACTTCTTAGCCACTTATAACTGTACTGATAACTGTACTCAAGGCCTTATTGGGGCACTTAAGGGGCTTTTAAGTCGGTTATCGGTACAGTTCTAATTGGTTGACCATTACCATGAACCTCCAAGTGTCCAGGCCCTGAAGAACCCAACCCCTTCCCCCCATCACTCCCACCACCCTTGCTCCGCCGCCAAAGAAAGCATCAACAGCTCAAGGCACCGAAGAACAAAGGAGTCTTATACTCTATGTGAGTCTACCACGGTATACGATAGACGGTTTGTTTTGTATAAAACAATCAAATATCGCCATATATGCACTTATCTTTACATGAATCTGGGTCTGTACGACTTGTGCGGGTTTATGTGCTTGGGGCAGGCTGCATTCCCAGCTCGGCCGCCGCCGCCCCGACGCCGCCCAGCCGAGGTTAAAGGTTTAGGGCACTTTTCTGGGTTCTTGTTAGTTAAGAAGCTTGAATTTCGTTACCATGCCCCTGAGCCCTAAACCCTAAACCAGCAAGCAAGCTGGTATCATTTTGAATGGGCCCTTCAATCCTGTAGATTCGGAAAGTTTAGGGTTCCTATAAGCTTCTGAACCCCGATGCTCCAGGGCTCCAACTCATTCTTGGCGCTAGGGTCCCAAACCCAAAGATCCCCAATAACCAATAACCCCCTAATAAGCCCCTAAACACCCCCTACCCCCCCGAATGCCAAATACCCCCTAATCACCCCTAACAAGCCCGTAATAACCCCCTCACAACAAAAAAACCCCCCAACAACCCCCTAACAACACTCCGAACAACCCACCAAGAAGCCCGAACAACCCCCAACCCTAAACCCTAAACCCCAAACCCTAAACCCTAAACCCTAAACCCTGAACCCTAAACCCTAAACCCCCAAACCCCCCCCCCCCCCCGCACCCCCACCCCTTCCCGGAGCTCAGGCTTGGCCGAGATGGCCCCACGGCCGCAGTAGGGGGGTGTAGGGTTTAGGGTTTAGGGTTTAGGGTTTCCTGCTTTTCTTTGTAAGGCGACTCATGAGTTCGCAGTACTGCCCTTATTTCCCTTCTTGGGGGTTTCAGGTTCGCGGAGAAACCCTTTTCAGCCCCTTCAAGCAAAAGCAGGCACCCATGTTAATCCTAGGGCGCTGAGGGTTTTGAGGGCGTGGGGCGGTTTAGGGAGCCAAACCCTAAAAACCCTAAACCCAAAACCCTGAACCCTAAACCCTAAACCCTAAACCCTAAACCCTAAACCCTAAACCCTAAACCCTAAACCCTAAACCCTAAACCCTAAACCCTAAACCCTAAAACGCCGACACCGCCGGAAGCCAGCGGCCTCCAGCTTCCGAGGTCGACTTCCTGGCTCCGACCTCGCAGGAAGATTGGGGGGGGGGGTTTAGGGCTTCAGGGTTTTAAGTGCTTCTTTAAGGGTCTTTAGTCTTTTTTTTAAAGGCTCCAACCTCGCAGGAAGATTGGGGGGGGGGGGGGGGGTTTAGGACTTTTAGGGTTTTTAAGGGGATCGGGAGGGCCTTAGGGCGTTTTTTTGTGTGTTTTTTTAAGGGTCGTTAGTCTTTTTTAAGGTGTTTTTTTGCGTTTTTTTAAGGTTTCCTTTTTGGTCTTTTGTGGTCTTTGGGGTTTTGAGGGTTTAGGGCTTTCAGGGTTTTTCGGGCTTTTGTCCACGGGTGGTTCTATGTGCCCTGGTTCAGGTCTTTTGGGCTGGACGGACTTTAGGGCTTCAGGGTTTGAGGGTCTTTGGGGCTTTAGGGTTTTTAGGGTTTTCCAGGGTTTGGGATTTACAGGGTGGTTTAGGGCTTTTAGGGTGCTTTTGGGGCTTTTACGGCTTTTGGGGCTTCAGGGATTTTATGGTTTAGGAGTTTAGGATGTAAGGGGCGGTTTAGGGCTTTATGGTTTAGGATAGACGGCTTAGGAGGTTGGGGGCACGGGGTTTGAGGTTTCAGAGTTTAGGGCTCAGTGAGGTTACTCATGTCCTACCCCAAACTCTGAACCCTAGAAACCCTAAACCCTAAACCCCAAACCCCCTAAACATCCCTAAACCCTAAACCCTCAACCCTAAACCCTGGCCGTAACCCCAAAACCGGTGTTGAGCTCCCAAGTGGCGTTGGCATGTAGGTTTTGAGGATGTTTACGCTTTAGGTTTTACGAATAGTAGTTCCCCCCTTATGATTTCTATATAGCAACACTTCAAATGATGAAGGCCCCAAAAGTAGCCCGTTGACGTGTTTGCTTCTTTGCTTGGGTTTAAAGGTTCAGGGCCTTAGGGTCCAGGGTTACGAGGCCCCGTGAAACCAACAAATGACAGATGCGCGTGCTCTCTTCCATTTCCTCCTTGCCTTTGTTCTCATACGGTTGGCACCTCAGTGAAGCCAACAAAGGCGACTTCGAAGCCCAAACCCTAAACCCTAAACCCCAAATCAGAAGCCTGGCAGCCCCGAAGTGCAATCCAAAATCCTAGAAATCCCGTAAACCCCCCAAGGGTTTAGTGCTTGGGGTTTAGGGTCCCGAAACCAGAACCCTGAATCCCTCCCGCGCCAGGCGCCAAACTCGCCGTCCCTGATCCCCAAGCGCATCACGGATCGCTTCGTGAGGGTTGAGGGTTTAGGGCCAGTTGGAGGCAGGCATGTCTAGGTGCATTGGCTGAAGCCTAAAGTCTAAAGCCTAAAACCTAAAGCCGAAACCCTAAACCCTAAACCCTAAACCTTATAAACCCTAAACCCCTAAAAAAGTTGCGAAGTGGTCTGCCTTACCTACACCCCTACTTGTGACTGCCCAGAAGTCTTTTAACCTGGTGCGGGTTTGGCAGCTTGACACCTGTGACCGCCCACTCTTGTCTAGGGTTTACTGTAGGGTTTGTAGGGTTGAGGGTTTAGGGTTTTGGGCTTAATTAGGGTTGAAGGTTCAGGGTTTAGGGCTTCATCTGCAGAGTTGCTCTGCTGGCAGAGGACCCTTTCGTAGCGCTGTCCGCCGACACCCGCGACAGCTTCCGCGAAGGTGTGTTCGGGGCGATGCAGAGGCGGGGTGAAGGTTGCTTGGGGTTGTTTCTGGGTTTCCGAAACTAGGGGTTTAGGGTTTACGGTTTAGGGGTTTACGGTTTAGGGGTTAGTTTAGGGTTTAGGGGTTTAGGGGTTTAGGGTTTAGGGGTTTAGGGTTTAGGAGGGGTTTATGGGCTTAGGCTTTGGATGGTTATGGGGCTAGGGCCGACGCAGTAGACCCTGAACCCCCTAAACCCTTGACTCGCCGGTCCGTGCCTCAACACCAAGCTGCCCAAACTCCGAGCCTGCATGGTTCGTGGGTAGTATATACACTGGGTTCTGACATTCCTTAATTACGAAGGTTCGGGCATAGCTTTAAGAAGCTGGACACATCTCTGGGGCCTCCTGATTTCCTTCTCTCCCCGGTAAGCCGCTGGAGCCCTGCAGATTGCACAACATCCTGGACAAGCCGAATGCAGCAAGGCAGCGTGGTCCTGATTCGCAGGGGTATTTATATGTGCACTCATGAGTGACAACACCCATAGTAGAACCATTCAGAGGTATTTCCCCTACTTACAGCAACCCTGCGAGCCTGTTAGCAAGGCACGTGGATCATGACGTGACTGCCACCCCAAGTCGTGACATGAAAGCCCCTGTGCTGAAGGCCGTCTCAAACCCACGTCGAATATTGACCATAAGGCCTCATCTCGTATGGCCAGCCAGATTGACAGCCATGTCCCTTGATGGGGCACCCTTGTTCATGACACCCGAAAAGGATAATTACCGGCGACTAAAGCCCGAAATCCCACACCCTAAAACCCCAACACCTACAAGTCTATATAAACACAATGACCTTAAACTCCAAACGCTAACACCTTACACCCGTAAAACCTAAACCCCTAACGAAACCGTAAACCCTCGGCCCTAAGCCCTCGAGAAATCATGGGGAGTGGCCCAGGTCCCGGCACCGCCTCAGAGACCCGTGAGTCGATGCTGGAAAAGGAAGAGAGCGCGCAGAGCTGTTAGTTGGGGGGTTGTTTTGGGGTTTAGGGTTTAGGGGTTGAGGGGTTGAGGGTTTAGGGTTGAGGGGTTGTATGGGGTGTAGGGTTTTTGGAGCTTCAAGGGTTGGCGGGAGTTGTGCAGGTGCCTTGAGAAATCTGATAACATGCTGCACTGTAGTTGCTTTTTCTTCGGGCACCTAACTTTATGGCTTGTACAACATGAAAAGAAGAAGATTCGGCACCCCTTAACCCGTCAGAAGGAAACCACGCCAAAGCCCTTACACCAGAACCAAGCTTTGCCAGATTGAGGCTCTAACACTAAACTTCCAAACTCTAAACCTCAAGCCACAAAACCCTAAAACCCTAAATCCTGAGCCCTAGAACCCTAAATCCCTCACACCCTGAAACCCTAACACCTTAAAGCCCTAACACCTCAACCCCAAATATCCCTAAATCCCAAACACCCTGAAACCCTAACACCCTGAAACCCTGAAACCCCTAAAACCCCTAAAACCCCTAAACCCTAAACCCTAAACCCCTAAACCCTAAACCCTAAACCCTAAACCCTAAACCCTAAACCCTAAACCCTAAACCCTAAACCCTAAACCCTAAACCACCCGCCAAGCCGCGCTCCCTCCGAGGCCCCTCCGCTCCCCGCACCGGCCCCGAACTTCCGAGGGCTGCCAAAGGCCGCGGTCAGAGAGCGGCTGGGCACCGCTAGTGCTGAAAAGGGCTTTAGGGGTTTAGGGGTTTAGGGCTTTTGGGGATTTAGGGTTATAGGGGTTTAGGGTTTAGGGTTATAGGGTTTTAGGGTTTTAGGGTTTAGGAACTAGGGGGAAAATACCCCAAAAACCCCCAAAACCCCCAAAACCCCCCAAACCCCCAACCAAACCCCCAGGCTTCTCCGGCGGCTCCCGGCCGAAGACGCCGCAGCTCTCGGAGAGCCCGCGCCCTCGCACGCCCGCGGGGACGGCGCCCTACACGAGGCGCGGGCAGCTTGGATGTTCGGGTCTAGGGTTTGTAGGGTGTAGGCTCCAGGTTAGGGTTCATAAGGTTTCTAGGGTTTATAGGGTTTATGCGGTTTGTAGGTTTGTAGGGTTTAGGGTTTATAGGGTGTATAGGCTCCAGCTTTAGGGGGTTTATAGGGTTTGTAGGGTTGATACGGTTTGTAGGGTTTGTAGGGTTTATCGGGTTTGTAGGGTTTGTAGGGTTTATCGGGTTTTTGGGGTTTATAGGGTTTAGGGTTGCAAGTACGTTCAGCAGATACGCGGGCGTAAGACTAGCAGCAGTAGTCATGATGACGATCACAACAACAATCGTCAAGCATATTTTTTACCAATACTGCCCATGTATTGGTGCATGTTAGGTGTATTGAAGAACCGATGTTAAGCAGGTACCAAAGCGTGAGAACATTTTTTTGTTCGTTGGTTTTGGCTTGATGGAGTCGCTTCACGCTAGATTCCATTTGGTCCCCTGCAAATGGCAACTCTACAGTCTCAGAGTGGATTCTGCTACGTTTGTTAGAAGAGTGCTGCAGAGAAGGCGTTAGGGAGCTGAGTTTGGTCCAAGCCCAGGCAGGAGAGATCGAACCGGACTTTAAGGTTTCCTCGGAGTGTGGGAACCCCACGCCCCACATCCTAATACGGTATAACCTATAACGACATGTGACTGACCGCAATCATCAGGCTCTACGATAGTGTTAACCCTAAACCCTAAACCCTAAACCCTAAACCCTAAACCCTAAACCCTAAACCCTAAACCCTAAACCCTAAACCCTAAACCCTAAACCCTAAACCCTAAACCCTAAACCCTAAACCCTAAACCCTAAACCCTAAACCCTAAACCCTAAACCCCAAACCCTAAACCCTAAACCCTAAACCCTAAACCCTAAACCCTAAACCCTAAACCCTAAACCCTAAACCAAACATGCAAGTTAAATTCTACAAATCAGAAGATATACGAACCCCAAAAAAAGAATCACGCAGGCCCTCGACGAGCATGAGCTCCAGATCCACCACCGCGTCGCCCGCGGTGTCCCCTCGCCCCGCCCCGCGGGAGGCTGAGACCTCCCATAGTATCGAAAATCGATTTAGGGTTTATAGTAGGGTTTAGGGGGTAGGGTTTAGGGTTTGTATAGGTTTTGCAAGCTGCTTGGGATCTACTCGGGTAGGTCTTCAGTCCCCAGAGAGCTCGAAGTTACTTGGAAATGGCGCGCCGCAGGTTCCCGCTCACCCTTTTAACCCTTAAGCCTTGGATTGTTCCCCCCTTATACTGCAGGTCCTTAATAGGGATTATAGTGCCCCTACTGGAATCCCTATTAAGGACTGTTAGTATAAGGGGAGAACATCCCAACTTTTAACCCTTAGGCCTGCAAGCTCGTCTAAGGCCCCAAGCTCCCTGTTGCCCCTCCACTCGAAATCCTTAGGAGAGGCCCCTAGACTCCTCCATGCCTTAAGTTACGCCTCTCTGATCTTTAGGGTTCAGGGTTTAGGGTTTAGGGTTTAGGGTTCAGGGTTTAGGGTTCAGGGTTTAGGATTTAGGGTTTAGGGTTTAGGGCTACTGCTTGCGCCCAGGCCCAGTCGCTCCGGCTCCCGTCGCTACGACCTGAAGCCCCCTGTGCCGTCGGCAAACATCGCCTACCAGGCCCCACAAAGGAAGGAGCTTGAACGGGTTTAGGGTTTAGGGTTTAGGGTTTAATTAGGGTTTAGGGTCTAGGGTTCTCCAACCCTAGACCGTCAGCTCAAAGCCAATTTAAGACATGGGGGAGGGGGGGGGGTTCTCTCGTTTGTGGAGTACTTTCGCGCATGGGTTCTTGAAATCACAAGCGAACGCATGCACCAGAGAAACGAACACAAAAGAACGGAGAACTAACAAATTGAGAAAACCAAAGTATTTGGCATCACTGAGCCGCTCTGTGAAGTTTATCATTTCTCTGCCCGAAACCCTAAACCCTAAACCCTAAACCCTAAACCCTAAAAGCAATATTCGTAAACAGAAGGGACAGCAAGAGACTCAGAAAGACAAACTGCATGAAGTTCAGTGGTTTTCACCTCCCGCGTTCTTCTTCACGAAGCGGGAGGAGTCTTGCTGCCGTCTAGTACCCTGCATAAGCTTCTTGGGCTGCAAGCCCTTAACTTTACTCAGCCTAATCGCTTAAGCTGCCGTTTATAAGCCCCAGACCCTAAACCCTACGCTCTGAACCCTTCAACTTAAAGCCAAAACTCTGAACCCTTAAGCCCCTAGGCCCCTAAACCCTAAACCCTAAACCCTAAACCCTAAACCCTAACCCCTAAACCCTAAACCCTTGCAATACCCTAAACCCTGAACCCTAAACCCTAAACCCCAAACCCTAAACCCTACGCCAGCGAGGCGCAAAACACCCCGCAGCTCCGCAATGCCGCGCTGCTCGCCCGGATCACCCAGATGCGCCTCGGTGAGGCCGTGCCGTTTAGGGTTTAGGGTTTAGGGTTTAGGGTTTAGGGTCTAGGGGTTTGGGGGTTTAGGGGCCTATCTGCTGTTAAATTGGCTTGCTTCTGCTGAAGGAATCAGGAGATTATCTAGGTGGTTGTTTAAGCTCCTGCAGAAATACATCCCGGTAGGCAGGCTTGGGGTCTATTTTTTTGAGAATATGGTTTGAAGGTTTGGGGTTCGGGTTGAAAGTGGAAATGTGTGGACATGGCCTTCCTGCTAAGCAGCTTCCTCCCTACACCCGAAACCCTGAACCCTGAACCCTGAACCCTAAACCCTAAACCCTAAACCCTAAACCCTAAACCCTAAACCCTAAACCCTACCTAAGCTCCTTCCTTGGGGTGGGGCATCGCAGGTCACCTCAACGGTGGATGGCATTCTGCAGGCCAGCGAGAGCGAGGAAGGCGGGGCCAGGGAGACGTTTGCAACCTTTTCCGGACCATGTAAACCTTAAAACACGAATACCTTTAAGCTTTGAACCTCAAAACCCCCCGCCCCCCCCCCCCCCCCCCACCAAACCCTAAACCCTAAACCCTAAACCCTAAAGCCTAAACCCCAAACCCCAAACCCCAAACCCTAAACGCTAAACCCAACCCCAATTGATGGCATGTTGGCCCCTAAGCCCAAGCCCTTATCCCTAAACAGAGACTGCGCCCAAAATCCAGCAAGAGTGATATCTCATTAAGCTCATTAAGTAGGGTTTCTGTGTTTTAGGGCATTTCTTTGGGGTTCTTATGAGGGTAGCTAGGGGCTATATTCAGGTTTCAGGGTAACAGATAAAGAGGCCACCGGCCTTTATAATGCAAGAGGCACTGGCGAGCTGTCCTACCTCGTCGAAGTCTTTCACCAGCGCCTGGCCGAGATCTTCAGCAACGTGCAGCTGCCGCAGCTGAGCTGCCGCCTCAAAGTCCGGCATGGGCACTTCCGGGTTTAGGGTTTAGGGTTTAGGGTTTAGGGTTTGGGGTTTAGGGTTTAGGGTTTAGGGTTTAGGGTGTAGGGTTTAGGGTTTAGGGTTTATCACGATGAGCTCATGGCACTTGGAAGCCTCCCTCAAGCCTCAGCTGCCCTACCCTAAACCCTAAACCCTAAACCCGAAACCCTAAACCCTAAACCCTAAACCCTAAACCCTAAACCCTCAACCCTCAACCCTAAACCCTAAACCCTAAACCCTAAACCCTGCAATGTCACACAACAAACCAAGGTCAAGCTGCCGACCTGACCTTTCTTTTGCAGGAGAAGGCCGTGGGGATAGAACCCTAAACCCTAAACCCCTAAACCCCTAAACCCCTAAACCCCTAAACCCCTAAACCCCTAAGCCCCTAAGCCCCTAAGCCCCTAAGCCCCTAAACCCCTAAACCCCTAAACCCCTAAACCCCTAAACCCCTAAACCCCTAAACCCCTAAACCCCTAAACCCCGAAACCCCTAACCCCTAAACCCCAAAGCACGGGCGAGTCGAGTCCAGGAAAACGCCACGACACCGGAGGCCTCAAAAATCTGGTTCCTCAAGCCTCATAGC